TCCCTCTGTATCCCTCTGGTCAAATTTTAAAAATAATAACAAATGAAATTAAATAAATAATTAATTTTTTAAAGAATGAGTGGTATAAAACAGTTCTCAGGGACCAGCGGGTGGTATAATGGTTACGTCAATAAACTCCCATGTAGTTGACTGCGGTTCAAGAACCAGATCCAGCAGCTTAAAACTCATTCTGGGCACATGTGCATGCGTGCCCAAAATCCCAAGAGGAGAATGGAGGAGAGGAACTGTGGCATGGCCATCCTCCCCCCCACCCAGGAGGTTATTTCTTGCCTTCTGTCTCTGTTTCTCTCTGTCTCTCTGGCAAGCATATGAGCCCTATAACAAAAATCTCTCTTAAAAAAATAAAAGCAAAAAACAAAAGACCGTTCTCAGACAGATACATATATACATGAGACCCTACCATATAATCAAGCAACTAATGAGGAAAGCACAGACCAAGTACAGGGAAAGAATTAAACTGGAGCCCACTGGAAACTATGTACTGAAGTGCATCCCAAATGCGCGAAGGACCTAATGTGGGAGGTAGAACCAGAACGGGAGTAGAAGACATGTGGAAAGCACTTCTGTGATTAGTCCCAAAAAAGCATCTGGGGCCAGAGGGTGGAGTGGCAGTTAAGGCACTGGACTCCCACATGGCCGACCACGATCTGGTTACGTCAATAAACTCCCATGTAGTTGACTGCGGTTCAAGAACCAGATCCAGCAGCTTAAAACTCATTCTGGGCACATGTGCATGCGTGCCCAAAATCCCAAGAGGAGAATGGAGGAGAGGAACTGTGGCATGGCCATCCTCCCCCCCACCCAGGAGGTTATTTCTTGCCTTCTGTCTCTGTTTCTCTCTGTCTCTCTGGCAAGCATATGAGCCCTATAACAAAAATCTCTCTTAAAAAAATAAAAGCAAAAAACAAAAGACCGTTCTCAGACAGATACATATATACATGAGACCCTACCATATAATCAAGCAACTAATGAGGAAAGCACAGACCAAGTACAGGGAAAGAATTAAACTGGAGCCCACTGGAAACTATGTACTGAAGTGCATCCCAAATGCGCGAAGGACCTAATGTGGGAGGTAGAACCAGAACGGGAGTAGAAGACATGTGGAAAGCACTTCTGTGATTAGTCCCAAAAAAGCATCTGGGGCCAGAGGGTGGAGTGGCAGTTAAGGCACTGGACTCCCACATGGCCGACCACGATCTGAGTCCCGAACCTGGCAGCTTACTTTCTCACGTTCCCTGTCTTTCTTGCTGTCTCTCTCTGGTCAGCACATGTTCCCTATAGCAAATTGAAGAATGGTAATAATAAACACATATTTTTTTAAAAAATAAAGAGTTCTTAAACTCCAAAGCATGAAGTTTTAAGACATAAAAAATTCTAAAAACTCTTTGTTAAAGTATCAAGTGAGCAGGTGATTTTTCCATGTTAAAAAAGTGATGATAAAGGGCCAGCTAGTGGCATGGAGGTTAAAGTGGCCAGATCCCACATGGCTGACTGTGTGGCTGAGTCCCAGATCTGGCAGCTTAAGAAACACGCTGGGTGCGTGTGCGTGCATGCCTAAAATCTTGAGAGGAACGTGGAGAAGGCGGTGCTTAGGTGTGGCCACCCCTGGGGAGTAGTTTTCTTACTTTCCCTCCTCCTCTCTCCCTTCTCTCTCTCTAGTGAGTACATGAGCCCCATAGCAAATAGCAAATTAAAAAACAATTTTTTTTAAGTAAATAAATTATTTAAGATTACTCATTTAGACATAGGGTTCTTGAGTATGGGGAAAACAACAAGTGGATTCAATTTCACTTTTAAAGGAGAATATTAAAATATTAGGCAAGTACAAAGTACCATGTCTTTCTTACTGTATACATGTCGCCGCTTCAGTTCTTCAAACACTTTTTGTGGATAGTCCACATTACCCCCTGAAATACTTAAGAGCAAAGCTAATTACCAAGCAATTCACTAATTTTAACATGCTTTTTTCCATACTAAAAGACTGGAACTGAAAGAAGTGATAGTACTTTCCTTAAGATTACTGCAGTATCATGCGTCTAACCGTAAATGGAATAAGAGGACTAGATTTAAATTAAAACATGGGATTTCTGAACTTTATATTAAATACATCTATTGGTTATAAGCTCAAATGAATGAAATTAAAATAATACATAGCTCAAATTCAATTAGAATCTTAAGTAATCATATAAGCTTAAAGCTACATGCCAACTGTTTTCTTTCTCTATTGTCAGCCTGGGTACTCAGATTCAAATACATTAAGTATGATCAAACAACAAAAATCACCATTTGTATTTAAATGAGTTGTTTAGACATTAGACTTCAATGTAACCGTTGTTTAGACATTAGACTTCAATGTAACCCCAATTGGCCTGCATCACAGACTAAATCCTTGAATTTGCATCGATTCGGTAACAGAACTGAATTACGCATGACACTTAAAACCCACAAATGCAGGAGTGTACTTAAGTAAAAAACTCATGTGTTTTAACTCCCTTTCTCTATCCAGCTACTCTGAATTTAGCCTTTAAAATTAGCCAAGAAAACCTGTTTAAAAGTGAAACTCATGTCATCTACTTAACACTGTGTGTAGTGTGCTAAAATCTTGGTTCTTTAAGCCTTCCGACTGCCCGCCCCAAGCCTACTGGGTCTCTGTTTCGGAACCGATGAAGTCACCACTAACTGGTGTGCGGCCGTAACCCACGGGTATTCTACACGTACGAGAGTAGTAAAATATACCTTGCACAACCACCTGGCTGCCCGGGACAAAGAACTGCTGAGTGCCATCGGCTGCCTGGGCCGCGTACTGCACAACTGTGGCACCTGGAGGAGGAGCTCCTGAATTGGTCATTGTTAATGCCTGCAGGCCCTGAGCACCATCAGATCCTGGGTTAGAAATCTGGATTGCTCCACCTTGGGCTATAGCAACTTAACAGAAAAAGAAAAGAAATATTAGAAATCTCGAGATTCATGTTTCGTAACCCCACCCTGGAGGAACACACTGGGTCTACTCAGCATCATGGCTCCTCACCTTCAAGGGGCCCTTACTCTTCTATGTTGAACTGATGAGGAACACCAGCCTTTCATGGGACGATACTTTTAAAAAGCTTATAAATGCCTGAAAATACTGTGCATTCCGAATTGTTTGCAGTTCATAGCGCCCGCAGTGTTCCTCCTCCCTGGTCTCCACTCGGCTACACCATTCAGAGTGGAGAAGAGGCAGGCAGACAGTCCAGCTTCTCCACTCTGTTTTTAGTGATAAACAACATTCTTCTAAGGTTCCAGAAATGGTCAATGACATTTCCACTGAGCACTGTAATGACAGCTTATACCTTTATTCAACCAGCTATTTTTCTAATTTATCATACAGTAGCCTTTAAAAGATTATGTATTAGATCTTTTGTATTTAAAGTGGAAGTCCATAAAACTGTGACCTTCACCACTTTGTCAGAAGGATCCTGAAATGTAGAAAATTAAGTTGGAAAGAACCATGAAAGACAGACTTGATGCTGCAAGGTTTACCTCTACCAAGCATCTGGAATAACTTACCAGCAGTGGCTACAAGGATGGTACAGACTTCCTCTAAATATTAGATTTGTTAACCATGTTTAAAACTGTTATGTTAACTTAAAGTTATAAAAAAAATAATGAACCGAATGTGTTGTTTCACAATTTCTAATAGGCAAATAAGTACTATTTAAAATACATGAGGTCTGTATATTATACCATAAAAATTACAATTGCATGCTTTGTTTTTTGTTTTTTTCTCTTTTGTTTTTGGAGAGGTTTTTTGCTATAGGGCACGTGTGCTCACCAGAAAGACAGAGAGAAAGAGAGAGAGAAAGCAAGAAGTCACCCCCCAGTGTGATGGCCATGCCATAATCCTGTCTCCTACATTCTCCTCTTGGGATCCTGGGCACGCACACACACCAAGTACGAGTTTAAGCCATCAGGTCCGGGACTCGCACCACGGTGGACTACATGGGAGTCCAGCGATGTAGCCATTATGCCATCTGCTGGTCCCAACAATTGCATGTTTTAAACAGTAGACATTAAGTGGAAATAAGGACAATCCTGTTTTTAACCGCAAATAAACCAACTGTACAATAGAAAATTTAAAAACCCTCATCATCAGAATAGCATGCACCTGTAAATTAAGTAAAAGATTTACAAGAATGTAAGAATAGCATTTTTTTTTTCTGCTATAGGGCACGTGCACTTGCCAGAAAGACAGAGAGAGACAGAGAGACAGAAAGTGAGAAATCACCCCCCAGAGGGGATGGCCACCATGCCGCAATCCCTTCTCCTCCATTCTCCTTTTGGGATCGTGGGCACACACACACGCGCCCAGCATGAGTTTAAGCCACCGGGCCTGGGACTCGAATCACAGTCGACTACATGGGAGTCCAGCAACATAGCCATTACACTAACTGCTGGTCCCAAGAATAGCATTTAAAATACACTCTGAATATTTCCAAGCCATTCCCAATTTTTTTTCCCCTCGTAGGACATGCTCACCAGAAAGAGAGGGGGGAGGAAAGTGAGAAATCACCGCTCAGGGGGATGGCCACACTGCAATCCCTTGTCCTCCATTCTCCTCTCAGGATCTTGGGCACGCACACACACGCACCTGGCTTGACTTTCAAGTCACCAGGTCTGGGGTATAAATCGTGGTCTACCATTTGGGAGTCCAGTGCTTTAACCACCATGCCACCTGCCAGCCCCAATTCCCAAATGTTTTTAATGGCATCTAAAACATGACCACTAAAAGTAAAAGCTCACTTAAGTGAGGAACCCAACAGAACTACAGAAAGATTAACAACAACGAACATTCTGACCTACAGTTCCAGCGCCTAACAAGAAAAACAGGATAATTTCACAGCAGATTTCGACACAGACCTACCCCCTGTGTTCCGGTTCACGGAGAGGCCACTGTGTCAGACTGGGCTCCCGGCTGTGCTATAGAAACTGGACAGTCAGTTATAGAGCGCCGATGGGGCTGGGGCTGAGAAGCCTCCGTGTGACATCATTATACTCTGCACACATTTTATAGACAGGCTATCTTCAAAACTGCAACTCTCGCACAAATACCTGCTGAGTGCCATCGGCTGCCTGGGCCGCGTACTGCACAACTGTGGCACCTGGAGGAGGAGCTCCTGAATTGGTCATTGTTAATGCCTGCAGGCCCTGAGCACCATCAGATCCTGGGTTAGAAATCTGGATTGCTCCACCTTGGGCTATAGCAACTTAACAGAAAAAGAAAAGAAATATTAGAAATCTCGAGATTCATGTTTCGTAACCCCACCCTGGAGGAACACACTGGGTCTACTCAGCATCATGGCTCCTCACCTTCAAGGGGCCCTTACTCTTCTATGTTGAACTGATGAGGAACACCAGCCTTTCATGGGACGATACTTTTAAAAAGCTTATAAATGCCTGAAAATACTGTGCATTCCGAATTGTTTGCAGTTCATAGCGCCCGCAGTGTTCCTCCTCCCTGGTCTCCACTCGGCTACACCATTCAGAGTGGAGAAGAGGCAGGCAGACAGTCCAGCTTCTCCACTCTGTTTTTAGTGATAAACAACATTCTTCTAAGGTTCCAGAAATGGTCAATGACATTTCCACTGAGCACTGTAATGACAGCTTATACCTTTATTCAACCAGCTATTTTTCTAATTTATCATACAGTAGCCTTTAAAAGATTATGTATTAGATCTTTTGTATTTAAAGTGGAAGTCCATAAAACTGTGACCTTCACCACTTTGTCAGAAGGATCCTGAAATGTAGAAAATTAAGTTGGAAAGAACCATGAAAGACAGACTTGATGCTGCAAGGTTTACCTCTACCAAGCATCTGGAATAACTTACCAGCAGTGGCTACAAGGATGGTACAGACTTCCTCTAAATATTAGATTTGTTAACCATGTTTAAAACTGTTATGTTAACTTAAAGTTATAAAAAAAATAATGAACCGAATGTGTTGTTTCACAATTTCTAATAGGCAAATAAGTACTATTTAAAATACATGAGGTCTGTATATTATACCATAAAAATTACAATTGCATGCTTTGTTTTTTGTTTTTTTCTCTTTTGTTTTTGGAGAGGTTTTTTGCTATAGGGCACGTGTGCTCACCAGAAAGACAGAGAGAAAGAGAGAGAGAAAGCAAGAAGTCACCCCCCAGTGTGATGGCCATGCCATAATCCTGTCTCCTACATTCTCCTCTTGGGATCCTGGGCACGCACACACACCAAGTACGAGTTTAAGCCATCAGGTCCGGGACTCGCACCACGGTGGACTACATGGGAGTCCAGCGATGTAGCCATTATGCCATCTGCTGGTCCCAACAATTGCATGTTTTAAACAGTAGACATTAAGTGGAAATAAGGACAATCCTGTTTTTAACCGCAAATAAACCAACTGTACAATAGAAAATTTAAAAACCCTCATCATCAGAATAGCATGCACCTGTAAATTAAGTAAAAGATTTACAAGAATGTAAGAATAGCATTTTTTTTTTCTGCTATAGGGCACGTGCACTTGCCAGAAAGACAGAGAGAGACAGAGAGACAGAAAGTGAGAAATCACCCCCCAGAGGGGATGGCCACCATGCCGCAATCCCTTCTCCTCCATTCTCCTTTTGGGATCGTGGGCACACACACACGCGCCCAGCATGAGTTTAAGCCACCGGGCCTGGGACTCGAATCACAGTCGACTACATGGGAGTCCAGCAACATAGCCATTACACTAACTGCTGGTCCCAAGAATAGCATTTAAAATACACTCTGAATATTTCCAAGCCATTCCCAATTTTTTTTCCCCTCGTAGGACATGCTCACCAGAAAGAGAGGGGGGAGGAAAGTGAGAAATCACCGCTCAGGGGGATGGCCACACTGCAATCCCTTGTCCTCCATTCTCCTCTCAGGATCTTGGGCACGCACACACACGCACCTGGCTTGACTTTCAAGTCACCAGGTCTGGGGTATAAATCGTGGTCTACCATTTGGGAGTCCAGTGCTTTAACCACCATGCCACCTGCCAGCCCCAATTCCCAAATGTTTTTAATGGCATCTAAAACATGACCACTAAAAGTAAAAGCTCACTTAAGTGAGGAACCCAACAGAACTACAGAAAGATTAACAACAACGAACATTCTGACCTACAGTTCCAGCGCCTAACAAGAAAAACAGGATAATTTCACAGCAGATTTCGACACAGACCTACCCCCTGTGTTCCGGTTCACGGAGAGGCCACTGTGTCAGACTGGGCTCCCGGCTGTGCTATAGAAACTGGACAGTCAGTTATAGAGCGCCGATGGGGCTGGGGCTGAGAAGCCTCCGTGTGACATCATTATACTCTGCACACATTTTATAGACAGGCTATCTTCAAAACTGCAACTCTCCACAGGTGTCAAGCATTTCAGGATTCACCCCTCACAATGAGAAGGTTTGGGAGATATCTTTTTTTTTAGTTTCTGCCCTAGGGTATATGCAGTCACTGGAGAGAGAGACAGGGAGAAAGTGAGAGGGGCTGCTGCAGGTCGGGGAGGGGGAACAGCCACGCCACAATCCTTTCTCTATTCCCCTCGAGATTTGGGGCATGCACATGCACCCGGCAAGAGTTTCAAGTTGCCGGGTTTGAGTCTCAAACTGTGGTCAACTTCATGGGGGTCCAGCAACAGAACCATTATGCCATCTGCTGGCCCCACTAACTTTTTTTTTTTTTGGAGAGGTTTTTCACTATAGGGTGTGTGCGCTTGCCAGAAAGACAGAGAGAGACAGAGAGACAGAAAGTGAGAAATCAACCCCCAGGGGGGATAGCCACACCACAATCCCTTCTCCTCCATTCTCCTCTCGGGATCTTGGGCACGCAAGCACATGTGCCCAATGTGAGTTTAAGCCATTGAGTCCGGGACTTGAATCGCGGTTGAGTCCGGGACTTGAATCGCGGTTGACTACATGGGAGTTCAGCAAAATAGCCAACTGCTGGACCCCCCACCAACTAACTTTTAAGAGAGAAGTATGGAGCCACCAGGTGGGATGGTGGCTCAGGTGCTGGACTCCCATACGAATGACTATGGCTCATGTCCTGGACCTGCCACCTTAAATATCATACCACACGTTTGTGCGTGTGTGTCCAAAATCTCAGTTGGAGAATGAAGGAGAAGGGATTATGGCATGACTGGCCTCCCAGAGGGGGGCATGATTTCTCACTTTCCCTCTCACTGTCTGTCTCTCTCCAATCAGTGCATGGATCCTATAGCAAAAACCTAAAAAATAGATAAAGATGAATTTTAAAAGGTTAAGCCAACTAAAAAAAGAAGTTCACAAGCAAATGAGAGAGAATTTAAATTCAAAATTTTGTATCAGCTCTTTTCACTTGTATATTTTCAACTCCAAATTTGTAAAGATAAACTAATTCAAACATATAAGCATGTAAATGTTTTTCATTTAAAACCACGCTTGGGACCAGCAGATGGTGTAGCCATTATGTTGCTGGACTCTCACGTAGTCAACTGCAGTTCGAGTCCTGGGCCTGGTGGCTTAAAACTCACACCGGGCACATGTGTGTGCATGTCCAAAATCCTGAGAAGAGAATGGAGGAAAAGGGATTGCAGCGTGGCCATTTCCCCGGGGCAGGGGGTGATTTCTGTCTTCCTGGCTTTCTGTCTCTCCAGCTAGTGAAGGCGCCCTGTAGCAAAAATCTCTCTTAAATAAATAAATAAAACCACCCTAATTCAAATTACAATAAAAGAAATTTATAAATGAAATCTCAGTAACCTCGGTGCATTATCTTCAACAGCCGCAGCAAACAGACCTTTGTTCCTGACTTCTCAGATTTAAACTAAAGATGAGCTCAAAAATGAACCTGTGACTGCCCGTGCCTGAAAGGCTAAGAGGTGACTACAGCTACAGAGAGACTACAGCTCGGGCTGCACGGCAGGGACACGGGCTGGAAGGCCAGTGCCCAGGGCTCAGTCCTTGCAGGAGCTGAAGCCAAGTCACAGCCTCAAGCAACAAACGCAACTGCATTTACTTCAGAATGTGCACATCCACCACGGGCCAATTCCCTTATGAAAAACGGTCAGCGCGTATTCGTGTGTCTCCTGAGAATTCCGAATTCTTTGAGCAGCTCAGGAAGTCTTTTCATAATGGTGGATCTGGATTGACACTTACCTGTAGCATAAGTATGGGGCCACCAGGTGGGATGGTGGCTCAGGTGCATAAAGAAATTCAGTAAGGGTGGGTTAACAGAGACTCAGTGTAATAAGGTTCCTAGTAAAATAAAGTAAGAACAAGCAAAGAGACAAGGGATGCTCAGAAAGAAAATTCGAGGTTTTGGGTGACAGTCCTTAACTGATAAGAGAAAATGCTGGGTATAAATAACATTTTAAAAATGGGGAATTTAAAAAACCCTGGGTCTGGGGCTAGCCCTGTAGCCTAGTAGTTAAGAGAGCTGGATTCTACAAGGCCAGCCAGAGTGAATCCTGACCATGCCCATTAGGGGCGTTTACTCCCTTTCTCTCTCCCTCTCTCTCTCTGGGGAGCACACATGCCCTCTGGCAAAAAAAATAAAATCCACCTTTGTCTCCAGAGAATGTTTAATGTATAAAGAAACCTCAAACATTTTCATTTCTTTAGATGATAATGGCATACCGCAATTCGTTCTCCTCCATTCTCCTTTCGGGATCTTGGGCATGCACACGTGCCTGGCATGAGTTTAAGCCACCAGGTCCGGGACTCGAACCACGGTCGACTACATGGGAGTCCAGTGACATACTCATTATGCCAACTGCTGGTCCCATTTAATGCTAATCTTAAAGGTCTTATGCAGAAAGTAGGATTCTTTGCTAATTCTGAGACTATCTGAACGGTTATCTTTCAGATAGATTTTCCTGAGAAAAGAGTGGATTTTTTCTGACCAGAGTCTCTTAACCCACACCACAGACCTCACTCTGTGCTTCCAGAGAAGAGTCTGCAGGTGCAGCTCACTGCGTTGTGAGAATGAATTCCCACCTATTTTATCTTTCCTATTCCTAGAAACTAGCCGATCCAAACTTTCATGTCCTAGCTTTTATGAATAAAAGAAAAATTGAAATAATAAGACCAAATATCTTTCAAATATTAAAAATGTAGGCCTGCCTAGGGGGAGCAACAGGTCGTATACTGGACTACAGTGCTGAAGCCACATGGCAACTGCAGGTTCGGATCCGACATGGTCCAAATGAAACACACATGTGAGCCCAAGATCCCAACAGCCAGAGCATAGGGGAAGGACCCCCCCCCTATACACACACATACGTGTACTCTATCATAAATATACTTTTTAGAAGAGCGTAATACATGGGGTAACCTGAGTACACTTATTTTATTTCTTCAACTTTGACATATAGTTTGGTTTTTAACAGCAGCTAACTCATACAAAATTTTTTTAAAAAATCATAAAAACAATTTATAATCGGGGCCAGCAGGTAGTGGTGGTTAAAGAGCTGGACTCTCACATGGCCAATCATGGTCTGAGTTCTGGCCTAGCAGCTTGCTTTCTCACTTTCTCTTTCTCTGTCTCTGTGTCTCCAACTCTCTGTCTCTCTCTCTGGTGAGCACACAAGCCCCTGTGGCAAATTAAAAATTATAATAATGATAAAATTTAATAAATAATTCTTTAACAAAGAGAGAAAATAAAAAAATTATAATCTTTGAAAAAAGGAACAAAAGCAAGTTTGGGGGATAGTCACTCATGAATAAAAATTAAAGAATTAAACCGAAAGAAAACGTTTATAATTAAAAAGCTATGAAAGGGTCTCAAAAGAAAATATATAGAAAAAATCTTCAGAGTCTAGTAAGATAAAGTCCTCTAAAAGCCAAAGGACCCCAGTAACTGCTTCTATCTCTACGTATTACGGCCCAACATGGAGGCATTCATACTGTTAACTATTACTAAGGAGCATGATGGATGAAAATGGACCCTCTATGTGTGTAAACAGACCTCTATCCCACAACGAAAGTAACAAATGTCTCTAAATAGTGCACAAGGGACGGTGATTTAGTACCCACTTCTCGAGTGGGAGAATTAGCTACCCGAGCAAGTGCACTGCAGGCCCCGGAAGCACGTTAACAACAGCAACACCACACAGGGAAGCGCCAGGGGGAGGTCTCGCCTGTGGCTGGTGCACAGCACAGCCGACTTCTCAGTCAAGTAAGTGCCGGGCACACCAACAGGCCCGAGGCAGGGAGCCTAAGCACGGAACAGCCCACGACCTCTGCGCAGTCCAGGGACACACATCGCGTCTGTCACATGCAGTTCCCGAGTTGTTGGCTGGCACTGCTGCCTGCACCCTCCACCTTGCCGCGGCTTGGGTGAGCACGCCAACTGTGAGCAGAGCACACCTGCGTGTGAGTGGACCATGAACACAGCATGAGCAGTGAGCACGCCGACCGTGAGCAGAGCACACCTGCGTGTGAGCGGACCGTGAACACAGAGCACGAGCACAGTGAGCACGCCGACCGTGAGCAGAGCACGCCTGCGTGTGAGCGGACCGTGAACACAGAACACGAGCACAGTGAGCACACTGACCATGAGCAGAGCACGCCTGCGTGTGAGTGGACTGTGAACACAGCATGAGCAGTGACCACGCTGACCGTGAGCAGAACATGCCTGCGTGTGAGCGGACCATGAATACAGCACGAGCAGTGAGCACGTTGACTGTGAGTAGAGCACGCCTGCGTGTGAGCAGACCGTGAACACAGAGCGTGTGCACAGTGAGCACGCCGACCGTGAGCAAAGCACGCCTGCGTGTGAGTGGACCATAAACACAGAGCACGAGCAAAGTGAGCATGCCAACCGTGAGCAGAGCACACCTGCGTGTGAGTGGACCGTGAACAGAGAACACAAGCACAGTGAGCACACCGACCGTGAGCAGAGCACGCCTGCATGTGAGCAGACCGTGAACACAGCACGAGCAGTGAGCACGCCGACTGTGAGCAGAGCATGCCTGTGTGTGAGCAGACTGTGAACACAGTGCAAGCACAGTGAGCACGCCGACCGTGAGCAGAGCACGCCTGCGTGTGAGTGTACCGTGAACACAGAACACAAGCACAGTGAGCATGCTGACCGTGAGCAGAGCACGCCTGCATGTGAGCAGACCGTGAACACAGAGCACGAGCAGTGAGCACGCCGACCGTGAGCAGAGCACGCCTGCATGTGAGCGGACCGTGAACAAAGAACACGAGCACAGTGAGCACGCCGACCGTGAGCAGAGCACACCTGTGTGTGAGTGGACTGTGAACACAGAACACGAGCAGTGAGCACACCAATCGTGAGCAGAGCACGCCTGCATGAGAGCAGACCGTGAACACAGAGCACAGTGAGCACGCCGACCGTGAGCAGAGCACACCTGTGTGTGAGCAGACAAGGAACACAGAACACAAGCACAGTGAGCATGCCGACCGTGAGCAGAGCACACCTGTGTGTGAGCAGACAAGGAACACAGAACACAAGCACAGTGAGCATGCCGACCGTGAGCAGAGCACACCTGTGTGTGAGCAGACAAGGAACACAGAACACAAGCACAGTGAGCATGCTGACCGTGAGCAGAGCACGCCTGCGTGTGAGCAGACCATGAACACAGAGCACAGTGAGCATGCCGACCGTGAGCAGAGCACACCTGCGTGTGAGCAGACCATGAACACAGAACACAAGCACAGTGAGCACGCTGAGTGAGCACACAGGACGGCGATGAGAGCGTCTCCACCCCGGCAGAGGCTCGCAGTGCAGTGTTACTTCCATGTCCAAGACTAAAACCTGAGATGCGAGCATAAAGCTTCACTATGATCACTGAGTCGGCAAATGCAGGCCCGGGGTTCCTTCCCCATGTGTCTCCAGCTTCAACATTCTCTCTGCCCATGTCTTCACAACTTCAATGGAGGCAAATGAACCTGCAGCATTCACTCCTGGTCACCCTGTAAAGGGACCGCTGCTTCCGCCACGATTTCTGAGCAGCACGAGGATACACTGACAAGTATGAGAATGCCGGCAGCTTAAATCATTGTCCAAACTAAAAGGTCTTAGAATTACCTCAGCAGTAATTTTCAACCTTTTCCCTGTCCCAACGAGTGGATGGTGCTGCTCAAGGCCAGAGTGGACAGCCTGGAGGCTCCGGCAGCCCCAAGGCCCGCCCAGCGCCCGGGGACTGAGGGCCGGGGTGTTCGGCACCCCCTGACTGCGCTGTAGACACACACCGGCCACCGAGGTCTGGTGTGCAGTGTTCAGGCGCCCGCCCCACCCCCCCGTGTGCCCAGGGGCACATACTCAAAAGAAGTGATGAGAGTCATGGCAGCAAAGACCTCGAGGCCTAACTCGCACAGACAGGAGAGCTTTCTTTCCTTCACACCGGACAAGACCACTCAGCACCCACACGGGCCATGTCTGCATGAGTTACACCCTGATTCTTCCATGAAGGAAGGTAGGAGCTACCCAAAATCACTAGAGGACAATCAGTTTAATAGATTAATATGGCAGATTGACCACCACTACAAGAAAAACTATGAAACTTCCAAAAAACGAATGACCACATAAGGTCTTCCCACTCATTAAAAGATTATTGCTAGCTTTAATAGCCGGGTCTTATTAAGTCATGACTTTTACCAGGTATTGCTATATCTTAAAGGAAAAAGAGACTGCATCTAAAACTTTAATACCTTATTTGGATAAAAACTATTTAATATCACATATATTTCAATATTTAAGCAGCTTCCCTCTCTTCCCTCCCCCTTTTTCTTTTCTTTTTTTTTAAAGCTGTTGATTTTTAACTTTTTTTATATCCAGTGCTCTTGATCTGCAAAAGAGCAAAAAACAAAACAAAACAAACTAGTGCTTTAATTAGAGCAAAAAGCACAGAATTAACAGTCCATTAAAATGCACAAGACTAAATGTGAGTGTATCTGTTTATTTAGGGCTTATGCTGTGTAAAATTTCAAATAAAATGATCTATCCAATTGCTACAGTTTTAAAAATTAAATTATCTTTCCATTCTCTTTCAGGAAAAACTGCAGCACAAATTAACAGAGCAGAGAGTAGTAAAATAGAATTACATTTAAAACATAATTTAGAAAACATATGTACCTCTTTTGGACTAATAAGTATAATACGTAATTGTTGGTAACAAAAGCCAACAGGAATGAAATACAGACATTTTTATCTTATGTTCACATGCATCAGGAAAGACAAGAAAAAACAGTAAGTTTTCAACTTTCACTAAAATATAAACACATAAATAGGAAAAGGCCTCCTTTTATTTAAGCCCCAATTTTTCTTCTATATTTGTCAATAAAACGCTTTACTTTTCAAAGTACATGACTACCATCTGTACAAAGCTCTTGTTTCTTTAACATGTACTTTTCGTTGCACGATACACAGTTTAGTTATTAACGATGCATTTTAAATGGAACAATCTAATGCCAAACCCCGAGAAGCTCCAAGGTAACTAGAGAAGGTGTAAACAGCAGCGTATCGTATCAAATGACAGCATACATACTGTATTGCCCAGTGCTAGTCTGATATATGCTAGTCGGAACTGCCATGGCAGCGATGTTAGGTGACGGTCCTTCTTCCTCTGACTTTTCTTCTTCAATCTTGGAAACACCAGGCACATCAGAGGAAAGTTCATTCAGTATTTTTCTAAAATACAATTTAACAATATAAGTGATTAAGATAGATGAATGAAATAGAAAACAGAAAAAGCTATAAAGGAAGAATTGGTTTGATGTATAATTATTCTACCTTTTTGGGAAAAGTATCATGACAGCATGAAACAAGTTAACTTACCTATAAGAGGGTCTTCGTGAAAGGATTTCTCTACGTTTATGAGAATCAATTACACCTTCTGATTCTGCAGACTCATCTGTCTCTGCAATTGTCGCTACCTATAATACAAGATTTTCTGAGATGCATCATAAAATAGATCATCTCGCTCGTCCAGAAAGGGCAGGGAGCGTCTGTGTGCAGTGCCGAGCCAGCTGCCGTGGAGGCAAAGTCACAACAGAGCTGGGCCACCCCACTCTCGAGGCGCTCACAATCCGGCTCAGGAAGGAAGCGCAGACACATTAGGCGGGAAAGCAAGTGTGCCTGGAGAGAAATGGTGCCAACAGTAAGTGCCACAGAGCTGCAACAGCAAGAGTGCTTGGAAGGCCAAGTGAAGCTTCGCAGGAGAAGATGAAATGCAAGATCCATGAGACCTAACCTCCCAAACCCAGAAGAGCCCTTACAAATCCACCAAGGAGTGAGCGAAAGAGCCCCTCGATTCTCCGCTCTCTTCGCAGTGCAGCTGACTTAAGCGGGTTCTTCAAACAAGGCACTGGGAGGCCCAGAGAGAAGAGTGCTTTGGCGGATGAGCGAGCGAGGCCGCTGGCCTGGTTACCCTCAGGACGCTATTGTAAGGTCTAAGTTGAAGCTTGGTGATGACGGTAGGTCTTAAAAGATTAAAATAAGGAATTTTACTTATAAGAAAGATGAACGCTTTACGCATGATTTCATTTTTCAAGTCAAGTAATAATAAAATAATTTAGTTGTTAAAGAAAGTCAGAAAACTAAAATTATGAACTTCTACAACAACATGACTGCCATTTATTTCAGTCATTTAACTCTGAGGACCAGTAGTGGGTGGATCTGAGTTTATATAACTTGTTTTATTCCATATGACAATGACGTGGGAATTTTACTTGGGCAAAATCAAAAGAGCTTACTAAAATATCAATAATGAAAGTAAGAATATCTATGTCCCCAAATACATGGATCCACATGTGTGTATTCACCAACACACGGGACCACGCATCTCTGGTCAACGCCCCACATGTAAGCACACACACACCCTAGGGAAGAACTTACTGAACGAAGTCCTGCCATGAGATAATCACCTTCCGCCCTCCAACACTGACCACTCCGTACTGCGCACTCACACAGCCGGCCTATTAATCACCACACCCTTATTTGAGGCAGGCAATTATTTCAACCATTTTAGCAAAGGGAAAACTGAAATTCATGCAGAGAGGTCCACTGTCTGACAGGTAGGAATTCTAAGACAAGACCCACTGCCATCTGTCTCTACAAACACAATTAAATCACTCATGCACCAAAATCCAAAAACAGTCTACTGAGCAGAATACTTACTTCTACTATCTGCTAGGTTAGAAATAGCTGAACCCCAGGAAAGTCATAAAAAGTGGAAGACTTTCTTGTTATACAATTAGAAACTCCTGGAATTAAGGGTCATCACGGGGGGAAAAAAGAATGGTGAAGATTATTCTTATACTTTGACCATCACAGGAAAAGACACCTGAGCCGAGAAGACAGCCAAGCTTTCCCTGCATGTGGACTCATCATCTCAGATATCAGGTGGTGACACTCATCCTCATCCTGACACCAACTATGCTCAAATATACAGAAAGACAAGGCCAAGGATGTGCATTTCTGTTTTCCTCACAGATCTTTTTTGTCGTCAATTATATTTATATAATTTCAGTATTTAAAGGACAATACCAAACTGACCCAAAAAAAGAACTGAAATATATTCAGTAAAGTATGCTTTAAAAGATGCATGTTCAATAATTCACATTTACTGACTGAAAAAGTTTTACTTCAAGAAATGTTAAAGAGTTATGGTCAACCTTGATACTAATAAAAAATAGAACACATCTCTGGACCACAACCACACTGATAATCACATCTATGAAAGTTAAAGTAAGCCTGAGAGGGGCATGACATAAACGTGACACCAAAGCGACCACAAAATCATATTACTTTTGAAGGATGATGTATACTGAGTTTAAAATAAACTTAACTTTCTATCTACCTACCAGTGAAAGTACTCCTAAAGGCAGCATAGACAGCCACACCTGCGAACGACCATGTTTATCAGACACCGTCCCCAAAGAGCCCCGAGAAGATTCATGGCCACCACCGGGGCGCTGGGCTAAGTAGCTGCGCCTGAACACGGGACGACCTGAGGACGACCACGCCGCTCTCTGCAGGCACAGGGTGACAGCAGCTGCGGCCCTCCAGCCAGCGCTGTGTACCTAGCAGGGCACGGTGCCCTTCACACATCAACAGAGACTCCTCCAACAGCTAATGAAAGACTGGAGCACAAAAGCTACAGGAAGAAAACCAGTAATGAAGTGAGCTTAAAGAAACGAGGACTGAAGAAAGTGGGAAATCACCCGGAAAGGAGGCTAACCTGAACAGTCTGTGTCTGTGGTGACTGAATAACCGATGGCGGTGTCTGAATGACTCCCTGGACATGCACCGTTTGGCCCGACGGTAACTGCACTAGAGTGACAGCAGGGGAGCCTCTTCCGGTGCCTGAGCCAGCTACAGAAACCTGCAAAAACGACCAGTGTTGAGGATTAAGGCTCGACCTTCTTCGTGGTTTTATTTTTAAGAAACGCCACTCGCTCCCACGCTGGGCTGGTTTCCTTTCTCCTGCTTCTGAGAAGTGGCAACCAAACTCGGGTACTTACCATGAGGCGCCTACGGCCCTGGAACAGCCACGCTCTGACGTGACAGAGATGGCAGAACCCATGCTCCTCACGTCCCGGCCCATGCTCCGGCGGCTAAGAATGTCTCCAGCACCAGGTTCTAAAGCAGTTAAACTACCTCACTTTGACCTCACCGCCACTAAAAAGGAAGCCTTTTCTAGGCCAGAGTACAAACTGCTCTCTCCAGCTTCTTAAGAGAAACTGGAGACAGAACCTAAGTATGGTAGCCCACTTTTCAGTACATGACTGTTTCTATACAATCGTGCAGCATTATTCAGGATGCAAACTCCTCAATACACTGAAACAAAGCTCGGGGATTTTTATGTCCCCATAATCACAAGTGAAGGTACTGGCCAAAGAAGTCCCAAGACCTTCTAAGCCTGTAGTATCTCAGAATCAGAGCTGGTGAGACCTCCTGACCTTGCCCGCCTCGAGCATTGGGAGGGCCAGACCATCAACTAGTTTTGAGAGAGGAGAGTCCAGTCACCTCCTGGCGGCTTCGAGGGCTTTCAGCACCAGCAAGCGCAAAGCATTCACGCCCTGGACTCGAAAGCTGCCCAGGCTTCTAATTAGTGACCAATCACATGGCAACATAATCCTCATTTTACTAAGAGTCACTGTGGGGACCGGCAGGTGGCATGGTGGTTAAGGGTACTGGACTCCCACAAGGCTGACCATGGTTCAAGTCCCTGACCTGGTGGCTTGCTCTCTCTCTCTCTCTCTCTCACTCTGTCCCTCTCTCGTCAAATTTAAATAGATAGATAGATAAATAAATAAAGTTAAATAAAATAATAATTGGAAAAAAAAAAGATTCACTTAATTATGACTTACTCAAAACAAAGACCCGGAAGATGAAATAAGCCACCAGTCTACTCATGTGAGAGGTAGAACTTCAGGGTCTACAACAGTTTTTGAGAGAAGTCTCTGTGTATAACCTCACCTAGAGAACACTGGTGATTACCAATCACCTTTATTAATACTTTAAAAGAATATTTTTCTTTCTTGTAGTTTTTTTTTTGTTGTTTTTTTTTTTTTTTTTGCTATAGGGCATGTGTACTCTACAGAGACAGAAAAAGAGAAAAAGTAAGAAATCAGTCCCCAGGTGGATGGCCATGCTGCAGTCCCTTCTCTATTCTTCTCTTGGGATTCTGGGTGTATACACATAAACACGGTATTTTTTTTTTCCAAGCTGTTGGGTCTGGGATTCAAACTACATAGTCAGCCATGTGGGATCCAGCTGCCTTAACCTCTACACTACCTGCTGGCCCCTAAACAAACTGTAATAAACTAGTTTGTGGGCCAGCAGGTGATGTGGTAGTTGAAGTGCTGGACTCCCACATGGCTGACCATGGTTCAAGGTCCAGACCTGGTGGCTAGCTTTCTCACTTTCCCTTTCTCTCTCTGTCTCTCTCTCTGGTCAAATTAAAAGACTCATAACAAATGCATAATTCTTTAAAAACCAGTTCGTAACAAATAACAGTAATACTTATTTCCATGATCAGTCCCTTGGAAAGCAAACTTCGCAGGCAATGTGAAAGTTAAAAATCCCTTATCCGCGCAAGGGCAATGCTGTGTGCGGAGCACCATGTTACGTGCACTAGGGTAGAAAGGAGACTTGCTCCAACTAGCACCTGAGAAGCAGCAGCACACCAACCAGCACCGAAGCAACTGCCATGAATGCCACAGGCAGAACAGCAAGACCAGCAGGGGCCAGAACAATGGTAGACGGCTTTATGCAGAAGACAGCGCCAGAGCCAAGGTCCTGATCTGAGCCCGGTAACAACCGGACAAAATGTGGAAAACCAGGACAGAGGCGACCAAGAAGTAGCCCAGGGGGTAAATTCGGCCCACCCACTGTGAGGAATCTTGACCACCTTCCATGTTAAGGGAACAAGAAAGGTCATTCACATGGAACCAACAGTCCTAACTACAAGTTTTAAAAACACTGGATTTACTCTCCCGACGCTCCGTGTACGGAGGGTAACAGGGGGCACAGACACGGTGGTGTGCCCAGCATCACTCTGCGATGCTGGAGCCACGGAGACTGGGCTCAGCTCCCAGGCTGACCTATACATAGCCAGGCACATGTGCATGCGTGCCCGTGACCCTGGGTGGCTGGCAAGGTTTGTAGAGGAGGACACGGCATGACAGCCTTTGACAGTGTCTTTCTCTTTCACACGAGAAACATTTTCTCGAGGCCCCTTGTTATGAACTGTAAGAAAGCAACCACATTTGTGTTAACCAGTTACCAAATGACGTCGCTTTCTCTACACAGCGAGTCCTCAAAGATTTGTCTCGGGACACACTTATGCTCTTAAACATTACTGATGGGGACCATAAGATGGTGTAATGGTTAACATCACTAGAATCTCATGTAGTTGACCACAGTTCAAGTCCTCAACCCGGTGACTTAAAACTCATGTTGGGTACATGTGCAAGCGTGCCCAAAATCCTGAGGAGAGTGGAGAAGAAGGGACTGCAGCGTGGCCATCACCCTGGGGAGCGATCTCCTGCTTTCTGTCTCTGTCTCTCCAGCAAGTGCACCTGCCCTATAGCAAAACTCTCCCTCAAAGAAAAAAACTATTGGTGACCTTAACGAGCCTTCATGTGATTTATATCTAAAAAAGTGCTGGTAAACATTAAATAACCAGATCTTGCGATGGAGCAGAGAGAAACTGCTCTGCAGCTTTGCTGATCTCTATGACATAAATAATCCTACTATGGATCATTTCAAGTGATCAAATGACACTGGATACAAAGTTGGAAAGACACGCACACCGCAGGCTTTCACAGCAGTACAAGTGAGCTCCAGCACGCCCCTGCTCGTGTCGCCTGTATTTACCATTTCGGAGGCAGAAGCTGGGACCGTTCACAATTCCGCAGTGCCCGACCTGCAGGCTCACTCTGTATGGCTTCGGCTACCACTCCCCAGTGCATTCGGGTGTTCTGACAGATGCTGCCTTCACACAACCTTTACTACTACATACTGCTATAACTGTGCTACGCTACGGTTAGTTATCATGACCCTTTTACTGTGCCTAATTTAGGAATGAAATATTTTTATCACAGGTACAGATGTACAGGAAGAACACAGTACGTACAGGGTTCCACAGGAGCTGCAGTTTTGGGCATCCCCTGAGAATCTTGAATGTAATCCCCACAAATATGGAGAAACTATTATACTTAGTCATTTATTTCAAGATAAAAATAATAGATCCCAGACCAGCAGGTGGCATGGTGGTAAAGGTGCTGGACTCTTTCATGGCTGACCGTGGTTGAAGCCCCAGACTCAGTGGCTTGAAAATTAAGAAGGGCATGTGTGCATACGTGCCCAGGATCTCGAGAAGAGAACAGAGTGTCTGCAGCGTGGCCATACCCTCTGGAGGACGTTTCTCATTTTCCCTCTGGTGTGTCTCTCTTTCTCTCCAACAAGCACACATGCCCTACGGCAAAAACCTAAAATAATAATAATAAATCCATCACATGCTAACATAAATAATATGTTATAGAAAAATTATATTTTCCAAAACAAAACTATTTACTACAAAGACTGAAACTTTTATACTTTCACAAATTCTGTGTGTGTCTGGTTCCATAATTACACTCCATAACTACTTTTGCATGAATCTTATTTGGGTTAGTATGGGAAGAAAATCTGGGCCTCACACAGATAGTGATGAGTGAAAGAAGAAGTACTTTAATAGCTTTTTCAGAAAGAGACCGGACCGTTTTCTTTAATAATAATACTCTAAAGCCTGACAGGTGGTTGCTTCTTAAAGATCAGTTGCGATGTGGAATCTGAAACCATGCCATTTACATCAAAATCCGTTTATCTCCTTGTCCTCTGGATGGATCTTTTACCCATGCAAGGGCTGTCACATTACGCAGTCGTCATTTGGAAAAACCGACTCACTGAGTGAAACAGACCTTCCAAATGCTGACATAGCTCATGACACACTATCAAAAATCACATTCAATCACTACCAACCTCATCAGAACACTCTATAAATATTATCGAGCTCGCAATGGCAAATGCGGAGGGGTGGGTGGGTAGAATTATTTAGTTTTTTCTTTTTTTTTAATTTGCTAGAGGGCACATGCACTCATCAGAGAGAGAGAGAGAACGTGAAAAAGCAAACCACCAGGTCCAGGATTTGAACTGCAGCTGGCTATGAGGGGGTCCAGCACCTTAATTACCATACCACCTGCTGGCCCCAGATTCAGGTTTTCTAAAATACAAATTTTCTGCTTAAGTTTTATCATTGATAATAGTTATTTTCTTTGAAATGACAAGTTCCTTTCAGTTGTCTTTGAGAAAGTGTCTTCAAATCTGAATGGCCTTAGGCTATTCACCACTCTTCTGAGAAAAATGGCGTCCTGTAATGGAGGGGGGAGACCTAGCCAAATCTCACCACCCCAACAATAGCCAAGTACTTTTCCTCAAGAACACCACCAGACTTGAATCCACAGAAGTGCTTGCTCTGAACGCTTCAGAGAGTAACACCGCATACACTCAAGAGCTAGACTTTGGTGCAGCTGATCATTTTTACTGCTTTACTGAGAAACTTCTTAGTGAAACTTTTAACTGCAGGTGAGTGACAGTGAAGACAATAGCTCCTTGGGCCACTGACTTGATGTGAGCTAAGGCACCAACAGCCCCTCCCCGCTCCCATTGTTTTTGTCACCATCACTGCAAATGTCAATACACAGGAAAAGGAAAATAACAGCATTATTGTAAAAATAGCTCCTTCCTAGCAAACTTCCTGCACGGGTCCTCAGAGTCTCTCCCAGGGCTCTGTGCCCTCTGTTTCGAAAACTGCTGCTCTACACTCTGCCTTTCAGC